TTAAAACTAAGAGAACAATAATAAATAGGTTAGGATCACAATATATAGAATAATTAACATATGAAATAAAATAAAGTAAACAATATTAGGCAGGCTATGAAAACGCAGCACGAAATAAATATGTCTTTAACTTTAGCTTTAACTTTGACTTTGACTTTAACTTTGACTTTGACTTTGACTTTGACTTTAACTTTAGCAAACTTTAACTTTAGCAAAGTTTGCCTAACGCAGCTTTCCCTTTTTGGAGTCAACTTAAGACATAAAATCCTTTTAGATCGCGTAACACACGGAGGACATTGGAAAGGAGTAAACAATAAAATCTTGTCTTGAAATTCCCTATCTTTTATCGAAAACCCCACGTTTAGCTCTATGACATTCATCGCTTCCATTTGCTTTGCCTGCAACGATGACCAATCAGGCAAGTGCTTTTCTGCAAGTTGGTTCAAACGTTCAGGTGCCGTAAGATATGACCATTCTGCTTGTAACAAATGATACGCCTCGCGAGCTGTTGCAAGGTTACGTTGTGTTTGAAATAGCTTTCGTTCAACTTCAACTACCTGATATTTTAAGCGAAAAACACTTCCTCCTAAGACAAGGACTGCACAAAAGAAAATCAGAAGGAATCTATTCATTGTTCCCCCTTCTCATTTTCTGAAAGCTGCACCTTTACCCCCACACGCAAACGTGCCGAACGTGCTCTTGGGTTAAGATTTATTTCCTCTTCTCCGGGTTTTAAAGCTTTGCGAATCGGAGTGATAAATGTTGGAGAATATTTGTCTTCTTCTACGTGCTGCGGTATATAACGCGAAACCACCTTTTTCGTCTCTGAACGTTCTCTTAAAAACCGCTTCACCAGACGATCTTCTAGGGAGTGGAATGACACAACCACCAAACGTCCCCCAATGTCTAAAGTTTCTTCTGCTGCTTTTAATCCACGCTCCAACTCGCCCAGTTCATCATTGACATAAAGTCGCAGTGCTTGAAAAACACGTGTAGCCGAGTCAATAGAAGAGCTCCTTTTACTTCCCCCTCTCCGTTCTTTGGAAACAACCGAGCGCACAATGTCTGCTAGCTGTTGTGTCGTTCGAATTTCTTTTTCTTTCCGAACTTCAATAATTTTTCTAGCCACTTTTCGAGAGTAGCGCTCCTCCCCTAATTGCCAAAAAATATCAGCCAGTTCTTTCTCATCTTTCTCAGCAATAACATCTGCAGCTGTTGGCTCTGAGCCCTCTGGATTCATACGCATATCCAAAGGCCCCTCAAAGCGAAAAGAAAACCCTCTCTCTGCTTGATCTAATTGCGGAGAAGACACCCCCAAATCCAAACAAATTCCTTGAACCTTACGCCCGTGCCCTAACGTTTGCTCCACAAGAGTATTCATTTCTCCAAAACACCCAGAACAAAATGTAAAGCGTTCTTGATACTTATCTTTTAATCGCTGAGATCTCACCTTCGCTTCAGGATCACGATCAATAGCAATTACATGATTTTTAGGGTTCGCTTCTAAAATACCTTGGGTATACCCTCCAACCCCAAAGGTTCCATCAACATAGAGGCCTTCTTTATCTGCCTCTAAGGTTTCTAGAACTTCTTTCAACATAACGGGTTGGTGGGCATAAGAGGGAACAGACATCTTTACACCCTCTCTCATGATAAAGCCTCACCAGGCTTCGAAGAGGCCGGAACAAGCTGTAACTTGGCACCACTTTCTTTTGCCCGTTGGCGTACTTTTTCTTGGTGTGTGTCGAAGGTTTCAGGATTCCAAAGTTGGAAAGTTCCTCCACGTCCTACAAAGGCTGCTTTATCCGCAATCCCTGCATGTTCGCACAAAATCTCTGGCAACATAATGCGCCCATCCCCATCGATTTTAAGCTCATGCGCGTCTGCAAAAATTGCCGTCGACAAATCATCTTGTGTCTCAGAAAAAAGGTCTA